ATGCCTATCAGCTGACAAACCTGTGCCTAGGGCTTCTGCAATCTAAGTCTCTCCTCGGATGGCCTCCTGGGCACTGAAAGGGAAAGCTTGTAACTGTGATCGGCCTTATCCTCAGTAGCTCTTATTTGGCATTTGAAGGGAAGGTTCTGAGTGATCGTTTTCTGGAAGATGCTTCCAAGTTCCTCTTTCGCCAGCAGGATCAGGTGCCTGACTGTCCTTTAATGCTATCATGCGCTGATGCTTTGCCCTTACCGTTTACTGCAAGGCTTGGGAATCACTTGCCATGAACGAGGAAGGCTTCCAAAGACTCTAAGCCCAGCTTGCTTTTTGGAGGTAGGCCGGGCTGCTATAACCTTAGCTGCTTCTCATGCTACAGTGATTAAAATGAGGCCAGTAAATGCCATAGCTGTTCCCGGAACAGAAATCGGAGGTATAATTAAAGCACGTTGGATGGATTATCAGTCTGTGACAGGCCTATGTCGTCTCTCTCTAGCCTGTAGCATGCGCTGGGCAGAATCTTGGCCTTGCTGACACTTGCTGTTGTCTCCAAGGGCATGATCCCTCCAGCAGTGGCCCCCTCTGAGGAATTTTAAGCAGAGCCCTAAACTGCTTTTAAAGAATCACCACCACCACGTCAAGGCAACGAGGCCTCGCTGATAACTAACTCGCTGCACTATTTGGGAGGCCTTTTCCTTATGGATCCCAGTAACCTACTCAAAAGCAAAAGCAAAATGCAATGGCCTTTGCTGTGGTGTGGAATTCTTGCAGAATACCAGTTTAAGTGCATGTCCCAGTGTAGGCAAACTAATGTCCCCCATCAGGCCATGGCTGACGCCTTTTTAGAGCATATACATTGTCTCCTATCAGAGTGTGCCCCTGTTAGCTGTACCAGGCTCCATCCCTCACACACACACTGTGGCAGCCCGGACTCCTGGGTTCTATTCCTAATTCAGCTCCCATCTTGCTGAGTGAGCAAGTCCCTAAGGCCCAAATTTTCATTCTGGATGCTTACATTTTTGGGTGCCCAGTTTGAAACATCTTTTTTTTTTTTTTTTGGTATTATTATTATTATTATTCTCAAATTGAACTCCCCAAATCTGTGGCCATTTTTGAAAATTGTAGCCATTAGCCTCTCCCCTGAGTCTCCCACCTGTAAAACAAGGATTATCCTGCCCTAGTCCCCAGGGTGGGCTGTAAGGCTCGAAGTCGCTGATGTGAGTATAACGCTTCGGGACCTCAGGTGAACTGTTCGTATCACTGTCCCTGCTCACCTCAGTCTGCAGACTGTTCTGAATGCTGCAGACCCTGAATTCAGCATTTCCGAGGGAGAAGGAATCAGAAGGTGCCAGACCCTGCTCCTGGGTTGGCGTAACCATGTGGGGGCTGTCGAGGGTAATCTGAACATCTCCTGACCTCCCCTCCCAATCCTTGTCAGACCCAGCAGTCCCTCTTTTCAGACTGGCATCTCCAAGGCAGAGTGACAACCCTGCAGGATCCTTCACAGGACAACACTTCTACCTTTGGCCCCTAGTCTAGGAAATAGTGCCCTGATACCTGTGTTCTCTCATGTCCTTTTCCTCGAGAGGAGCAAGAAGAGGGAAAACTCCTCAGCAGAGATTTCCAACATCTTAGAGAGAGCATTAAAACCAAGTCCGTGCCCCCAGCCCTCTCTGCAGGCAGCAGGTGAAGACACTTTGGAGCCTGATCTCCGAGCACTTGCCAAGTGCTTGTTATTTTTAAGTACTGAGGATTTGAGCTGTTGGCCACCTAGGCGAAAAGTCAATGTTTCCTTTTATGTGGCTGCAGAATAACCTAGGCAGGCACTTTGAGTAGCAGCATAGTGGTATCTTTAAAGAGGTTAAGAACAAGGACATTTAGGTGGCAGAGAGCAGGGCTTTCTCAGAGCCATGTCATGGAATGGGGAGGGAAGGGGGGATATTTTTCAACATTTCAATCTTAGCTCCTTCAAAAATAGGATTTTCTCTGCTTTTCATCCAGCGTTTGAATGTTTAATGTGGTTTCTGGGTAAAATACAGTCAATGTGAAAACGAAAGGGAAGTATTTGCATTAGTAACCTCAGAACCTCACTTTTATTTTATTTATTTTTACAACTCTTTCCTTCCCCCCAGTCTCCCTTGCAGTGTCTTTACTTTCCCTCTCCAGACTCATTCACTGGTCTCTGGAGTAGCAACTTGTCCCGCACACTGCCCAACATTCTACCTCCCTGAGCGCCCTGTTTTAGGTCAACAATTCCCATTTTATCCACTGTGTGGTCTTTAAAACACCATCGTTCCCTTCTTAACATTCTTTTCCTGTCCCTGTCTGCCTTAATGTTCAGGGAAATACCACAGGATATGTTACATTCTCCCTCACCAGTCTTTTGTCCACCTTACAATCATGGGCCAGGTCCCTCACTCCCCAGATGAAGCTTCTCGTGGACATTCAGGATTGCCTGCCAACGTGTGATCACTGTTACTTCCTTTGTGAATGGTAAAAACAAGACACCAATTGCCAGATATCCGGTGTGAGCTGTATATTTGTATAGTGAAATCGGCGCAAGAGACTAACTGCACCTGTGTTGCATTTCTGCTCCACCTTCATTAATAGGCTTCTCTATTATTCAGCTACTTCACCGTGTGTACAACTATGTCAGTCATACACACAGCTTATATATACTTATAGCCATTGACAGTGCCCTTGGTGCTGTGTACAAGACCCAGAGGAAGACATCCCTGCCCCAAGGAGCTTATAGTTGAGGGGCTATATCTGGCCACCATCACTTGTACTGGTCTGGAAGCAATACCCTTGCTCACACTGAGTAGAACCTTGCTCCACAAATAACCCCATTGATTTTGGTGGGACTAATCATGGTAGAAATTACTTGTCAGCATGAATAAATGGATCTACCTAGTAGTGCCACCGAGTAGTGTTTTAATTTTCAAACAGGACTTGTTTCGTAGTTTTAGAGAATTTAAGGCCAGAAGGGACCATTAGATCCTCTAGTCTGGCCTCCTGTATAACACAGCCACTAAACGTCACCCAGTTACCCCTTTATTGAGCCCAAAGACTTCAGTTAGACCAATGCAATTCAGTCCTCAGGAGAACTGTATGTCACAGGCAGAGAACAGGAGAGATCGAGGTGCCACCAAGCCCTGAGGAATTAAGTGAGACATGCCCAGATGACCCCAGCAGGCAATTCACACCCCACGCTGCAGATGAAGGTGAAAGGCCCCACAGTCCCAGCCCATCTGAACTAAGGGGGGAATTCTTTCTTGATCCCAAATCCGTCCATCAGCATTATGCTGAGCATGTGGGCAACACACGTCAGCCAGGCACCTAGAAAGAGGATTTTCTGTACCATCTCAGAGCACTGGGCCACCTAGCTGGAGTCCCACGTCCAGCTCTGGCCAGTCTCTGATGCTTCAGAAAAAGGTGGAAAAATAAACATCACCAGCATAGGTCTGGCCAGATGTGAATCAGGGGGAAATTTTCCTTCCTGATCTCTGCGTGCGGTTAGTAAGGGAGGCAGAATCTGTCTCTAAATAGAATGTCTTATTTATAGGCTGCACCGGATTAGTATGATTTTCCCATGGGATCCAAAGGTAATATAATTAATTACACATTCTCTGGTTTTGTACACGTTGTTTTAAGGACATAGAGAGGCACAATTATGCTTAATAAAAGGTGCGGCCTCTAAATGGAGCCGTACGGTGCTGTGTATGTATAGACAGACTTTTATATATAAAAATTTATAGAGGGGGGTGTGTGTGTGTGTGTGTGTATATAGATAGACATACATGTTCCGAGATGTAAAATAAATAGTGGATGACTTTTTTTTTTCCTTACTTTTTCCAGAGGGTTGGATAGTCTCATCCAATTTGTAATCACAATCCCACTTGAGCTGTTAGCAGTTCCTCTAAACAGGGATTTGGTCTGTTTAGGCTGCCTGTCCAGCTAACGAGCAGATGGTTTTTGTTACTGGGTAGTATTTCAAAGGGAAGGGGTTTTCTCTTGCTTTAGTACCCCTATTGTTGTGTTTTATTAAATTATGACATTCTGACGCTTGGAACACATGAACTGTTCCGTTCCCCCGCAGGAGGAATCTGGGAGAAGGGTTTTTCTTTCCTTTTTGTGTCGGCTTGGATTGCAATGATTATGAAACCCAAGCAGCACTGACTAGAGTCAGGTACTGAGAGGGACCACGGACTCTCTAGTGGATAGGGCATGGTGCTGGACATCAGGATATCTAGGATCTGCTCTGGACTATGCTGCTGGCTTGTCTTGCATGAGTCACTGCTCCTTTCTCTTCTTCATCTTTCTCTCCCACCCTTTGTCTGCCTCGTCTCTTTAGACTGAGATCTCTTCAGGTCAATGCCTGTCTCTCACTAGGTATAGGTACAGCACCTGAGATACTGGGGCCATGATCTCCATTGGCGCCTTGTGGTGTTACTGTAATACAGATAATAAGTACAAAGATGCGAGCGGCTTTGTGAGCGTCCTCCAGACAGCCAGACCTGAGCTTTCAGAATTTGATAGATTGCTGTAAAGGCTTCTCTTAGGCCAGCTAGCTCAGCCCCCTTTGTATGTAAGAGCCCATTTGACTGGTCTTTAGAGGCTCTGGCAATATTTTTATAGATAAGATCTTGCCAGGTTAGCTACTCCTCCTCCTAACTTCCAGGTCTCTGTGCAATGGGACATCAGTCGCACAGATGGAATCTACATCAGTGGCCAGAGACTAGTCCATTAACCCTCAGTGTCAGAAATCCTGACATTTCATATGTGTGCATGGTCACCTTCCATTTTTCAACTGGCCAAAATTGTGCATTGCCTGAAATTTCCTCCTTTAAAGGCAAACGCAGTGTAGTAATCATGTGAGGGAGCTGATCTTTCTCCTTGGGTCCCTCAGACCGAGAGGATCCATCCCAGTTGCTTGTCTGATTCCCCCTCTTTGTCCTGCGCTACATTGTTGTGCCTCATTTTAAGTCTTCTTTTCTTTGCAGCCCAATGACCCGGTAACCAACATATGCCAAGCGGCAGATAAACAGCTCTTCACCTTGGTGGAATGGGCAAAGAGAATTCCCCATTTTTCAGAACTGCCGTTGGATGACCAGGTCATCTTACTCAGAGCAGGTAAGAGGGATATCTTAGTGAGGAAGATCTCAACAGGGCTGGTCGGTGTAGGTGGGATGCTCTGCCGAGGACAAATGTTATATTTATAGTTAGTACACTACGACCTGAAGGCTACTAGTCACGTCTGCCTTTTAGTCACTGATAATTTAGTTGCCAAGAAGGATTTTAAAAGCCCTAAGAAACACGTCACTGAGCCTGCTCCACAGTGCAGAGCCTGCTGCCAGTCAGCCCGAGAATCACCCCATTTCATCTTTTGAGAGGCAAGCGTATCAGAAGTTGGATGGGTTGTTGAAATCTGAAGGAACCATGTAATATCTTCCCCGCTCACAGAGACTTGAAAGAGAACTGCCAGATTTCACAAAAATAAAATGTGTGATCAAAATTAAAAACAGAAATGGGGGGGGGGGAATGGAAATCACCCATCCTTTGCCACCCACAAAGATAAAAATACAATTCTCCAGGCTCATTCTGAATTGCCTCTCCCTGCAGAGGAACTAGTGGGGGCGGGCTAAAAGCAGTGAGTGGTTAAAAATGCCGTCTTCCCCCTGTGCAGATTTCAGACCAAATGCTGGAAGGTATGCACAGAAAACAGAAGGAGTGAGAATCCAAAACTAAAACTTGACAGGTGCGGGTTTGGACATGAAACTGTTTGCATAGCTCTGATTGTCAGATAAGGTAAATACAGCTGATTTAAAAGGGATTGGCCTGTCATCACAGAATATTGTGCCTGCATATTCAAAGTGGATGGATACATTATCTTATTAAAAGCGCCTGCAGCAAATGGCAAGGTTGATATTAAGGAAGAAATTACCCTGAAACCCAGCCATAACTCATAGCTCTGTACTTCACAATGAAAAAGTGTTACTGTTTAGAAAGTAAGAAATCAAGGCTCTGTTTGGTGCACCGGTGAGTTACAGCACTGCATGGGGTGCTGTTAATGGTTAAGGCACCGGACTAAGACGCTGGAGATCTGGGTTCAGTTTCTGGCTCTGTTGCAGACTTCCTGTGTGACCTTGGGCGAGTCACTTAGGCTCAGATCATCAAAAATATTTAGGTGCCAAACACCCATTGAAATCAGTCTCTATGCCTCGGTTGCCCATCTGTAAAATGGAGATAATAATACTTCCTTTGTTTGCCTTGCCTACTTACATTGTAAATTACGTAAGGCAGGGCCTGTCTTACTTTCTTACCTCTTAATTTCATTGGAATTTAATTGGATTGGCATAGGAAGTCATCGGTTTCATCTGTTGGTTACAGCAGTGGTCTGGGAGTCAGGACTCCTGGGTTCTATTCCCAGGTCTGCCACTCGCTATGACCTAGGGCAAGTCGTATAACCTCCTTTGTGCTCCAGCTGACCCATCAGTAATAATACTTCCCCTAATTTCCAGGAGTGTTCTGAGGATCAGTAAATCAGTGTTTGCAAAGTACTTGCAGGGCCTTCTATGAAAAATGCAAAAAGCTTTATTTTAAAAAAGCATCTCTAAAGCCTCCTGGTAGAAAAGTATTTGTAAAAACAATCTTTATGGAAATGGATCTTCAAAGTGAGAACTTTGTGAGAAAAAACCATAGAGGGAGAATGATTGATTGAATCCAAACAAAAATCAATATTCCATGTATTTTAAAAAAATCATGACAACAGTTCTCAGTTTTGTAAAAAATAAAATAAAATGAACAAAACCCAAATTTGAGGCCTAAATTACTTGATGTTGTCCCTGTAATTTTGTTGGTATTGCCTTGTAAGCATGAGCATGGGAATGAGTGACAGGGAATGGATCAATTGATGATTTTCTGTTCATTCCCTCTGGGGCACCTGGCACTGGCCACTGTTGGAAGACAGGAGACTGGGCTAGATGGACCTTTGGTCTGACCCAGTAGGGCTGTTCTTATGTTCAAACAGTTGCATGATTCTCACTCATTTCAACTATAGGCTGGTGTAAATCTGGAGTGACACCTTCAAAGTTAACGGCTTGTAAGTGTGATCAGCGTCAGGTCCATTTTCTGTGAATGTTCTTACCCTACCCCCGCATTTTTTTGCTGTCAATCTGTATTGACTTTCCCGGTTCAAACTCTTAATTCTCTAAGGCTGCCTTGTAAAATTTACCAGCTTGGGTGAGTCAAATTTTACGAGGGCTACTCCAACTCCATAGCACCTTAGAAATGTAGGTTCCATCATTGCTTTGACCTTTAGCGTTGTTTTCATGTCTCCTAACAATGTGCCCAAGAGGCTGACGCTACCGAGGAAGGCAAAGTGCCAGGACCTGGAAAAGCAGTGCCAGGAACAACTCCGACAGAGAATCAGAATCCAAGTGTCTCTATCAAGTGGGGCCTCAGATAACCTCCCTAAAGTCTTTTAACTAGTGGCTTTATCTATTATTGAGTGCAGAGAGAGGCCTGCTGAGAACAGCTGCTTATGAAATATTTAAGTATTAAAATTTAGCTAAGAGCGTCGGTCGGATTCATCCATGCATCCTCTGTGGCAAAATAAATGGAACTCACATCTTCTGAGGAGCAGGAGCTAGACGGGTCCTCAATCAGTCGTGCCATGTAATCTTTAATCATTTAAAATCCGCCCTCTTAGAACTTTCTCAAGGGGAAGAAAAAAAACCTCAAGTTTTTAAACCTGCTTTCATGTTATTTTTTCCGTTCCAAGTCTGAATTACAGTTGAGATGATTAAGATAATCTGAGGTGGTCCTGCAGCTTAGACAGTGGGCTGGCCAAAGGTTCTCTGTTTGGTATGTGAGGCACGAGGGTTTTTTAATGGGACCGAGTGGCTTATTGAAACTCTTGGTGGTGCAGTTAGTTAACACGCTGGCCTCTTCGCTGTCACGTGCCTAGGTTCCTGTTACAAGTGAAACCAGCATGGGCAGTTTTGGGTTTACTTACAGTGAGAAGAACGCTAGTCTTGAGGAGAAGGGATGGTCTTGGGATAAAGCCACTGGGATCCCGGAGGTCTGGGTTCAGATGTGATCCTAGGATGTATCTGGAGAGAGATTTCCAGTAGAGCTAGGGGGAAGCAGTAATGCCATTGTACAAGGCACTGGTCAGACCTCATCTGGAATATGGCATAAGTTCTGGTTGCCCGTGTTCAAGAAAGTTGAATTCAAACAGGAACAGGTTCAGAGAAGGGCCACTAGCATGATCAGGGGAATGGAGAGCTCATCTCACGAGAGGAGACTGAAAGAGCTTGGCTTGTTTAGCTTAGCATAAAGAAGGCTGAGCCAGGATCTGATTGCTCTCTATAAATACATGGTGGAAGAAGAGCTATGTAACATAAACAACAGTGTTGGCACAAGAACAAATGAGGATAAACTAGCCACGAATCAAATGTAGCTGGAAATCAGAAGGTTTCAAACCATCAGAGGAGTGGGGGTTCTAGAGTAGCCTACAAACAAGAATTAGGGAGGAAAAGAACCCTAACTCACCCAAGTTCGATAGGTTTATGAACAGGGTGATAACCAGCGATTGCCTGCAATAGTAGGGCACTGGACTTGATGACCCAGGAGGTCCCTTCCAATCCCATGTTCCTAATTCGCAGCTCTTCCACAGACTTCTTGTGTGATGTTGGGTAAACTACATAATCTGTGTGCCTCAGTTGCATCTCTCATCTGCAAAATGGGGATAATACTACTTTATTTTTTCCCCATTCTTTGTCTCATCTGTTTAGATTGTAAGCTCTTTGGGGCAGGGACTGTGTTTTAATATGTGTGTGTACAGTAGTCCCCATAAATGGATACCTCACGTGAGTTGGATCCTCTAGGTGCTAAAGACAAATAAGTAAGGCTAAGCTGATTATCTGAAATTTCTCCTTCTTTGAAATAATAATGCAGATGTCGTCTGACCTCACAAAACCATCACACACACAAAACCGCTCATGCATGGTGGGTGCACTCCTGGCTTTGAGAGGCCCAGGACTGGAATAGCAGGGGAGATGCTAGAAGCTGGTCTGGCAGCATTGCAGAGCTGTAGGGGAAAATGGCAAGGACTGGCAGGGTGCGGTTGGATGGGGCTGAGATGCATTGGCATTGCCATGTAGGGCCTGCTGAGGACAGGAATAGGAGAAGGGCTGCAAGCCAGCACTGAATTTCACTAATTAAAGCTGTGTGGAAAGTCTGGGTCCGGAACTGCAGAGGATCTGGATGTGATGTGACATAACTACATGGAGGAAGCACACACGACACCTTCCAGCATGATGCCAGTGATTCTCATGCAGTTCACATGCAGTTGTAAAGCATGATTAATGCCTATTCCCTATTCCAGCCCCCATGGCTTGCCCTTGTTCCCTCTTGAGGTATGCAGTGTTGCACACTCTTCTGTAGCTGCTAGATCCCTCCCTGTAGTTAGTCATAGAATCTTCTCTTAATTGGGGTGGAAACATCCTATGGCCATTTAGAAATGGTGGACTTTATCCCATGTATGTCATTCTAATGACATACCTTGTGCATAGCCCGTGATTGCAAAAGTATATAAATATGACAATCCCTAAACAAGCTACTCACCAGCATACCTGGGCGTAATGCTTATTGCTGATATAAGTATCAACCACCAGCAGAAGTTGTTTTCTCCAGGACGTCTCCCAGACATGCCTTCCATGGAATGGGGGAGGGGGGCGGTTAATAGAGAAGAATTTCTTCTGTGGCTGTTTTGCTTTTCCAGCTTATTGACATGTTGCTGCAGTTCATCCGGGTGCCAACAGAGGGCAATACACACCTCTCTTTGGAAACGGGCTTGTCTACTGATTAGCATGTAAATTACAGTGACTGGAGGTGGGACTAGAATTTGAGTCTCCAGCTTTCACCAATAGGTGGCTCTGTCAGATGAGGAATCAGATACTTTGCACTTCTCTAGCTCCTTTCACCTGAGATTCTCAAAGCAATGTACAAACATCAAGTAAGCCTCCCCCCTTCTTTGTGAGGTAGGTCAGGGTTGTTAGCCCGGTTTTACAGATGAGAAAACCGAGGCACACAAGATGAAGTGACTTATCCAAGGTCACATAGCAAGTCAATGGCAGAGCCAAGCAATTGCATCACAGAGTCCTGGCTCCCAGTTCTCCTAGCGGACCCATCTTTTCTTATCCATCCTGGATGTTTCCAAGGCACACATCGGTAGAGCATGTCAAGAGATTCCGGAATTTTGATATTTTGATGAAAATTTGAATGTGGAAATTTGGGGATATTTTTTTAATGAAATCCCCGCCCCCCCCAACACACACACACACACATATATTTTTTAACCAGCTGTAGCTATCCCCTTAGTATCTAAGCACAGAAGGTATAATATATATACACATGACTTATGAGGAGAGGCTGAGGGAACTGGGATTGTTTAGTCTGCAGAAGAGAAGAATGAGGGGGGATTTGATAGCTGCTTTCAACTACCTGAGAGGTGGTTCCAGAGAGGATGGTTCTAGACTATTCTCAGTGGTAGAAGAGGACAGGACAAGGAGTAATGGTCTCAAGTTGCAGTGGGGGAGGTTTAAGTTGGATATTAGGAAAAACTTTTTCACTAGGAGGGTGGTGAAACACTGGAATGCGTTACCTAGGGAGGTGGTAGAATCTCCTTCCTTAGAAGTTTTTAAGGTCAGGCTTGACAAAGCCCTTGCTGGGATGATTTAATTGGGGATTGGTCCTGCTTTGAGCAGGGGGTTGGACTAGATGACCTCCTGAGGTCCCTTCCAACCCTGATATTCTATGATTCTATGATTCTATATACCTTCACAGATGCCTGACTTCCAGTGACAACTTCTAATAAGACAAGCACCTACACTTTAAAGAAATAAAACAACATGGAAAACATTATTTATTTGTGTTGGAATAATGTCTGGTGGCCCCAGTTATCGACCTGGGCCCCATTGTGCTAGGCACTGTACAAACCCAGAGCAAGGAGATGGTACCTGCCCTGAAGAGCTTTGCAGTCTAAGCAGAGGACCGAAACAGACAATATCCCCAACAGTTTTCAGAAGCACGCATTTGAATCACAGGCTCTTAGCTCCTTTGCATGTTATTGCTTGGAAACAACTTTAGTAGTAGCTCCTTATTGGACACATGTCATGGGTATTAGGCTACATTAGGTATGTGTAGTTACACACACATACACAGGTCAATTGCTGTCTGTACAGAGAAACTTTGGGGAGGGGAATTACTTGCTCTAATGCGAGCATTTTGTTTGTAGAGGAGATGGCCTCTGTTACCTAATGTCTACCTAATAGATTTGTTTAAAAATCTTTTTACTGCTTCTTCCCATAGTTTCCCCTCCGACAACCGGGAAAGGGATCTTTCCATAGACTATTTGGCATCTAACTTGGGATTCCTGCAACAGGGGTGGCTCCCAAAGAAATCCGGGTGGGGCCAAGACCCGTTCTGCAATGACCCCTCCTCGATTCTTGGAGCAGGCTAGTGCCTGGGAGGTGGCGTTACTGATTCCGAAAGCCGTAGGGGAGCCATTGGTATTAACCATCATCCTTCGTTGTTTCTTCTCTCCAGGCTGGAATGAGCTTCTAATCGCCTCCTTCTCCCACCGTTCCATAGCTGTGAAAGACGGGATTCTCCTGGCCACTGGCCTCCATGTGCATCGGAACAGCGCTCACAGTGCAGGAGTCGGCGCCATCTTTGATAGGTGGGTGCTGATGCCAGGTGTTGTGGAAGGGTTCTAGGCTGAGGTACATTGGCAGAGCCCTGGGCGGGGGAGCCTGGAATAGCAGTGAGTGCCGCGGGTCTGGGCTATGGTTTGTTGGCAGAGCTGTGACATGGGGGTTTGGTTTGAGGGGATGGGACTGATGGCCAGGATTGGGATGTGTTGGCCGTGCTATGCATATGGAAACTTGCCATCCACGTCGGTCCAGGCTGCAACCTCAAGTCTCTCCTTTTAAACGCACAGAAACGTCCACCTAGGAATAATGTGTGAGCTGCTCACCCAAAGCAAATTAATACGTCTTTCATGGGGGCCAGCTGGCTCTAATGCCATGAAGAGGATGCTTGTTTATTGTGCTTTTCATCTTTAATTGGACCAAAATATTTGATTTTCACTCTGAACGACATAAAAGCACCAAAAATACCCAGCTGGTGCCACGCTCCTGCTCTTAAGGCGCATTTAATCCACTGCTTTGGCAAAGCTTTTTAACGTGAGCCTTCCCTACTGTCTGACCCAGTTATTACTCAGAATACCACTCACATTGTGACTGCATCATCTGCCCTTGATAATTCTCAGAGATAGCTGGGTTACGACCAAGGGACGTCTCATCCTCTTTGCCTCCTTCCGTCCCTCTTCTGAGCTGGGTGACAATATTCATTTCCTGTGAGGTCATAGGAGTGGGATCCTGACTTCACTGCAGGATCTCACAGGAAAAGCTGAGCAAACACACCTGCAATAAGAGGAAAGGGAACAATAAAAATTACCAGCGGAGGAAATTGCTTTTGGATACCTGGCTTTTTTACTTTTTAGCCTTTCTCCAGTGTCAGAGCCCCTTACTAAACTCGCTCTGAAGATAGTCTTTATGGTCCTCACTATGTCTCTCAGGAACCGTAGGCACCCACCTTGGATTATGTTTGTGCAACAGGAGAATGAGAGAAGGGATCAGGGGGGCAAATCTTCAGCAGGCACATATTGGCACTGTTCCATGGACTTCAATAGACCTACTCCAGATTACATCAGTTGAGAGGCTGGGCCAGGGTTGTTTTTTTTTTTCATGCTGATCCCATGGAATTTTTTGTCTCCCTGCAGAGTACTGACAGAACTCGTGTCAAAAATGCGAGACATGCAGATGGACAAGACGGAGCTGGGCTGCCTGCGAGCCATTGTCCTCTTCAACCCTGGTACATTCAGATGCTCTGTCTTAATCTCCCAATTTTGGCTTGGCTGGGGCTCTGTTCTTTTGGCTCTTTCTTTTATTGACAGTAAAATGCTACTGCAAATCACTCTAGGCACCAAACACAATGAGAGCCAGGCGAAAGAGAAGAGACAGAAAACCAAGGGGGAGTGCCAAGGATGGGAGTGTGTGATGCTATAAATATGCCTGTTTACGCTATCAGTGTATTATGTGTAGTCCCCCCTTCCATCTAGGGCTGGTGTAGGTAAAGCCTAGAGAAATAGCCATAATCACATCTTAAATCTACCTATTCTAAAGTGAATATAATATTTTGTTGTCAGACTAAGGGGCATTTCCTCCTGGGGAGAAGGAAACATTACAGATATTAGGATTCTCTTGTAGGCGCAGGGTAGCTAGGAATTGAGCTTAGCACAGCGCAAAAGCTAGCTGATACCACTTCTTTGGAAGATTGCTTGGACCATATTTAGTCACAAGGGTTTTCCTAGTTGCGTCCAACAGGTCAGATTCTCAGATGGTGTTAATGGGCAGTGCTGAACTGATCTTCAGGGAGTCCTGCACCGTTTTATGCCAGCAGCCCAACAAAGGCAAAATGATCTGAGATTTCAGAAAGTCAAAGCTGTTCTGTTATCTCCAAACAGGTTCAAAAGTGGATTGAAACTAGAGAACTACTTTGTAGCTGCCTTCTAAAAAAGGATGTTTCCAAGGCAAGACTAAAATGGTGGCCAGTGTTAATTATTCTTGATTCCATATAGCGCCCAACACTCTCTAGAAAACTTAGTAACTGAATCCATGTGAAATGCTCGTATAGCAGCTGGATAGGGAGTATTATACAACCCCTCACTAGGCCACAATTGTTGGATTTTGTGAGAACCAGCACCACACACACACACAGGGCTCATCAGATTAAGATGATTTATCCCTAACAAAACAACTCTGAGGATGGCATTTCTCCATGTAACTAACACGCCACTAGCTGCGTGTTCCAGCAGACCTTGATGATCGTTGGTGGTAGTTTTCTCATTAACCATCAGTAATTTGGGAATGACCATGTCTGGCAAAAGAGAAAGTCTTAGAGAGGTTCCCATGACACATTTGCTCGAGGATATCATTGGATTGATATCCTCTTGGGAGTCCTTTCAGCCTTCCAAAAAAGTGGACAAGGGCCCAGATTTTTAAAAGCAATTAGCCATTGGTTCACTCAGCATTGCAACACTGAGCTAGGAGCCTCAGTCTCATTCAAAGTCAATAGGATTTAGGCTCCTAAATACCTAAGTTGCATTTGAAAGGAGATTTAGGCTTCTAAGTGACTTAGGCCTTGCTGTGCAGAAGGTGTGGGATTGTCAAAGGGATCAGCTAGGGAATGTAGATACTTACCAAGTCCCATAGGGAGCTGCCAAAAAAAGGGCTTTCTTTTGGCCCTGCTGCTGTGGTTTGCATTTGGGAAAAACCACAAGTCAGTGGCTTGAGGGGAGCTTAAATCTTTTTGATGAGGGCTCGTAATCGCTGGAGTGAACCAAAGTGCTGGATTTGAGATGCTCAGAGTGGGCAGGATAGAACCTTAGTCAGGCAAAGCAAATCCTACAGCTGATTATCTGTCCAGCAGCCATCGTCAGACGCACAATCGCTTGAGCTCTCCCAGAACCCACTGAACTGATGCACAAAGGGGCTGGGATTCCGATCGCAGGTTTTAGGGATGAATACGGCAGCACAGCACAATAGATAAATCGAAGGGGATAAAGCCAAGATCTGAGATTAGTCAGCATAACTGGATTTGTCCGAGTAGGAAATATTTGAGTGTAACTCTGCCATGTTTGTTTGTTTTTTTTTAAACCCTTTCAAGATATTTTAATTTACTCTTGCAATCCAGATCGGTGGCCACCACAAGTTGCCACCCTCCGATGGCAATTCAGTGGCCTGTATGAAATGAGATCGGTGGTCTCAGACCAGTTCCCTTGTGTCCATGGTGCAAAAACCACTAGCAGCATAGCTGGTGCTAACTGTCCCCCTTGTTGGCAGCCTCTGCCAGGAGGCCAAGGCTTAAAATGGCCCTGCTCCTCTCTTGTCCCCTAACTACAGGGTTCCTGTCACATGAGGGTTGAGTCCCGTGGCTCCGGGGATTGAGGAATGGAGCGGAGAATCTGTTGCTTCCCATCCAGGCCAGCTCTGGAGTGGCTGACCCTTATTGCTTTTGAGTTAGGGCAATCAAAATCCAATTCCCAGTGTGCAAAATCCACCAGGAGCTGTACAGCTGGCCCCTTTAATGACAGTCTCAGCAAAGAGACCAGGGATTAAATCAACGCGGAGAACAAACTCCCCCTCTGGCTTGTAGAGAGCTGGCAGGGTTGACACAAGTGCTGTATCCGTCCTGAGGATGTAACTAGCACACTAGCTCCAGAGCTGTTCTTTGTAGCTCTTTCTTACAGGGGATTAATTGGGCTGCGGTAGAAACAATAGATGGCCTCCTAACTCCCCTCCCCACTCCTCGCTCGCAGCGTAAAAGCAGGCACAGTTGGCCCATGAAGGCCATCAGTTCCTGTTTCCATCCCCTGTCTAGTTCTCTGGCTCTCTCCCTTCATCCAGCTAGCTGGTTTCCTGGGCCAGAAGGGGACGCTGATTTCCCAAATGGGGAGAGATGCTCAACCATTGCCTGACTTGAGTTCTGTTGCTTGTGAAAGAAGCTGGGGAATGAAAGCACTATCAAAACAGGTCTCCCTCCCCGTCCCCTGCAGCACACTGCTCGTCAGTGCTGTACCACAACCCTGGCCTGGACGGGGGGGGCCCTCCATTCTAGGGTTGCAGAGCAATTTGGTCTCCATTTCCATTCTGCTCTCGGCCTTTGTGCTGAGCCAGCCAACAACCTGACTGCTGGGAGCTAAACTGAGATAAACACCCTCCCCCATCAGCCCCGACTCATTTCACAGCGGGCACCAAACAATCCTCTCCAATTCGGTGCCCCTAAAGTGCTGTTCAGTCACCACCAAATTAGGCCAGAATCAAACCAGTGACCGGAGACATCCATTCCCCTTAGCTGGCCATTAGGGGACGGCTCTGGATGTACGCGGCCCACCAGTTGATACTCCTCACTCATCTATTGTCTCCATCCTGGAAATGTCCAACGAGCTCCAAAATGTGCCTTCGTCTCAGCTAAGGGTCCTTGCTGTGTTTCAGACTCGAAAGGACTCTCCAACCCCGCTGAGGTGGAGGCTTTGCGTGAGAAGGTGTACGCGTCACTAGAGGCATACTGCAAACACAAATACCCCGACCAGCCTGGAAGGTGAGTGTCTGAGCATGGATGCCTGCCATGGGCAGGGCTGGCACCAAGCTCCTGTTCTTTGCTACTAGACAAGACCTGTCTGCAGTGCCATCCAAAAGCTGCTCCTGGGGAAGGGTTACAAGAAGTGTCGTCCCCTCCCCATTCCAAGTAATAACAACACTATGCACTTACTGGAAGCAGTGCCTTTTGTCTGGGGAACACAGACTCTTTACAAGACTTAAGATTTGCAAGAATCATAGAGGTAGGTAATGTGAACCTTTTATAGATGAGTAAGTGGAGTCTGAGAGCTACATTTCCCGGCTGGTATAAGTGGAGGCAACACGGTTGAAGCTAAACCGTTAATTTTGCCCTGCTTGATCAATGGAGCCTCACAAGCCCCCCACTATGAAGTGCAGAAGTGTCACCACCCCCGTTTTACTGAATGGCCAATGGAGGCAGAGAGAAGTGATGCAACTTGCACAAGGTCACGCAGTGAGTCGGTGCCGGGAAAAGAACCATTGTGTTCCTTCTGATCCCCTACTGTAGCCACTAGAAACACATAGCAATGGGATGAGTGCACCCCAGGGGAAACCACCAAGAATAAACCACCAAAAAACAAGACACACACGGAGTTAATTTTCAGTGGCACATGAGCATCACTGCTGGGAAGCGAAAGCCTCAGTTGAAGCTCCGCCTTTCTCTCTCCCCCAACCCCAATCCAGCTGGGTACAGGAGGTGAAATTCACAATGCTTTCCTGGATCATTCCAGAATTGAGTGGGCGCATTTTCCCAGTCACAGCTTGGTGTTGGCAACTTCCAGCTAAGATATGGTCAGGAACAAAATGAAGGAACGCATTGTGAATTGCCTGTTGGTACAAGTCAGTTAAGGAATGTGTATATCAGTAAAAATGGCAAAATAGTGTAGAAATTTGGATTCACATCTCATCTGGCTTTCTGGGCTTCCTTTGCTGGACAGTAGAAAAAAATGGATCCTCTTACAACAGTAACTGATTAATGCAACGATTGAGAGCCATTGTGCCAACCCAAAATTGCTTTGAGGTTGCAATGTTCTAGACTTCAATATCAAAAGTCAAAGTCGGCCCTGAGCCAGGGATGGCTCATCAGGCTGATGCGGTTTAAGACACATCAGTTTCCATAGCCAGTAGTACGCAAGTGAGCAAAGTGGCAAGCATTATGTCTGACCACCTTTGACTACCCTAACCTAATGGATCACCTACCCATTTTGCAGCTGGGTAAACAAGAGGCACCCTTTCAGTGTGCGATCAAACAAGGCTCAGACCCATGGCTGCTGGGAGTGTAATCAAGCAGTGTTTTATAAGATCGTTAGAATGGGCTAAAAAATAGTGTGAATATTATTGCCTGCCCTGTTTGGTTTGGAGGATGGTGGGAGGTGGGTTGGCAACCTTGAAGAAAAGGACAGGAAAGGTTGGTTGAAGCCCAGAAAATCCCATGCAACTCACCTAAGTTTTGGATCCTCTTGCCAGCTCTGAAGCCAACTCAGGTTCATGTAAATTTCACCTTTCGAGTAAATCTGGACCCAATTTTGACTGAACTTTTGTAGTAATTTTCAAAAGATCTCAACTCCCATTTGGGTTTGAAATAAGTGGTCAGCCATAATTGCCACAATGGGAGCTGCCTTAGAAAATCAGGCCCTCTTCCTCAGCAATGGACTGACCCAAACCCCCAGATGCAAACATCCTTGTCTTTGGAGAGGTGTGCAAAATCCACATTGAACTTTCCAGCCTGTGCTCATCACTACTCCTTTGTTTGCACTTCAGATCTGGGCAGACTTCATGGGAGCGGGGTGGGATTCAGAGTTGCGACCAAGTTTTGCTCTGAGTTTCTGGATTCATTGGAACCTGAGATTTGGGAGGTGTGAACCTACCTGGATCGAAACCAAAGCAAATATTCTCAGAAAACCCTGTAAAGCAAGGTCACCCCATTTCACTTAGCTCTGTTCCAAAACCCATGAAGATCTAAATGGCTTTGACACAGCTGGACTAAGGTGTGAGGACTCCACTGGAGATCTCTCTGCTCTGAGGACTACGCTAGTGATCACCGTGAAATGGAAGGAAATATTCAATGTATCAGATGACCGATACCGTAGTCCAGTGGACGGGAGTCCTGGGTTCTATTCCTAAATAGGGCGGAAGAATCCCATGCACTGCTATAGGCTGGGGACTGACTGGCCAAGTGGCAGTTCTGCAGAAAAGGACCTGGGGATTACAGTGGACGAGAAGCTGGATATGAGTCAGCAGCGTGCCCTTGTTGCCAAGAAGGCTAACGGCATATTGGGCTGCATTAGTAGGAGCATTGCCAGGAGATCGAGGGAAGTGATTATTCCCCTCTATTCTGCACTGGTGAGGCCACACCTGGAGTATTGCGTCCAGTTTTGGGCCCCCCACTACAGAAAGGTTGTGGACAAATTGGAGAGAGTCCAGCGGAGGGCAACAGAAATGATGAGGGGGCTGGGGCACATGACTTATGTGGAGAGGCTGAGGGAACTGGGCTTATTTAGTCTGCAGAAGAGAAGAGTGACGGAGGATTTGATAGCAGCCTTCAACTACCTGAAGGGGGGTTCCAAAGAGGATGGAGCTTGGCTGTTCTCAATGGTGGCAGATGACAGAACAAGGAGCAATGGTCTCAAGTTGCTGTGTGGGAGGTCCAGGTTGGATATTTGGAAACACTATTTCAGTAGAAGGGTGGTGAAACACTGGAATGGGCTACCTAGGGAGGTGGTGGAATCTCCATCCTTTGAGGTTTTTAAGGCCCAGCTTGATAAAGCCCTGGCTGGGATGATTTAGTTGGTGTTGGTCCTGCTTTGAGCGGGGGGTTGGACTAGATGACCTCCTGAGGTCTCTTCCAACCCTAAAAATAAAAAAATAAACTTTTTTTTAAAAAAATGACACAATGTGATTCCCATCTGGGGTCAGGAAGAAATTCCTCCCCTGGTAGAACAATGGACAGTTGAATTCTTTGTGGGCGATTTACTGGATCATCTCACAGTAGGCACTGCCAGCGACTAGACAGTCCACTGGTGAGTTTCAGATGCCCTTCCTGCAAGACTATGAATAAATATTGTACTCTAGGAACTGGGGGCTCACAAGAATAGTGTAAATGCTCGTGCACCAAATAAGCAACTCCTTCACAACAGCCAGGCTAAGGGAAACGTTCCAAGGCCAAACATAACTGAGCCCCAGCCTCCTTGTGCTGCTCTAGCAGGGAGGGCTTGGTGTGTACGTGACACGAAGCAGCCTCACACAATCAGCTCCCTTCTCTCCTGGCCCAGCCCCAGCTCTGGTGCATTGCACGGTGGGCTGGTTATCTCATGGTTAAATGTATCCGAAGGCTGCAACCATCATCTGGTTTGGTTTAGAGTGAAATTTCCTGGATGGGATGGCAGGTCTGATTTGTTTTTTCTGGCCCTTGTCCCACTGCTCTTTCCAGCTCAGCAAATATATACACACACACACGAGCACACAGTCCTTGTCCTCCCCCCCAACACACACACACTCCTTTCCCTGGCCCAGCTCCAGCCTTGAAACTGCGTTGCTTATTTTGAAGCCCTGCTTGCATGGGGACAATACAAATAAATAAATAAAGACATTCTCTATTATTAATAGGAATTTTTTAAAAACATTCATCCAAAGCACAACGGTGTGTAGCGGGGTGGGGGAAGGGGGAGCCAAATGAGCTGAGCAGAGATCTCATGGAGCCGCTGTGGCGGTGGGGGTGGAGAAGGGTCTCTGGAGAGACAGTTCTGCATCTGCGCCCTATGCAATTCCTAGCTCATTGGGCCTGAGCCTATTAACCCAAAGGAACAGGAATTGCAGGTGAGTCCCATTGTTTGCCCTGGGGTCAAAATCCACATCACATTGAGAAGCCATATTGCAGCTAAAGAGAGCTCCTGGCCTCCTCTCTTCACTCTGGATCACTGGTGCCTGGAGTGTATTCCCCACCAGCTGGCTCCTCTCCACTGGACTCTCGATTCAGGGCAGGCAGAGCACAGCCTTCCCCAGAGCTGCTGGCCAGCCTTGTGGGCGACGGTGGGGGGTGGGGGAGGTCCTCTCACATCCAGAGTTTTGCTGAAAATCACCAGGGCCTGTCTGTCCCCCACTGCTGGGGAGCTTTTGAGGCCACAGAGCCAGCTCCTTAAACCCGTGATCCTGCTCTGGTTTTGAGTGTCCCTCAGTGCCAAACGCTGTTTGTCCTGTGGTTTGAAAGTCTTTCCCATGAAACATCAAAGCCCTCGTATGTGAATGCAGCACTCGTTGCTTGTCAGCAATTTTTTTAAAGCATCGTGGGCACAACAGGAAAAGCACCTCTGCGGGGCTAAGCTGAGGGAGAGAGCTCCTTTTAGCCGGTGGATAAAGTAGATGGGCAGTTTCCAAAACACCAGCCAAAGAGAAGTGGGAGCTGCTTACCCACCCCAGCGAGAGGAGGAGGGGCTGTGTTTTAACACCTGCCCTGGCACAGTGGAGTCTTTGCCTAGGGGGGCAAGTCTGAGCTCCAACTTCAACCCCTTGCTTGAGAAGATGCTACCATCTTCCATTTGATTCACCCCGGGTATAGTGCCCCTCAGCCCACAGTTCCGCTTTGCCAGCGGGTCCCGAAGGCAGAGAGCAGTTGAAGCAGGGTACCTATCTGGGGATATGTGTGAAGAGTGACTTGTGGCACTGCTGGCTATGGTGAGTTGCCGTATTACTTCATTAAGGGGATGCAGTCAGGCTGAATTCTAGTCAGTTTCATGAAATGAGTAAAAAGGCACCCCAGCCCCCCTGGCTGGTTTCTGTGCTTTTACAGTCACATTTTCCTATATCTAAAGGGGAAAGAAAAGAGGGCCAGATGCTGATGTGTTGTCTCCACTGACTGCTGCCCTGCCGCAATATGTTTCTTCTCTCCCCTACTATTGTGTAAGACTCACACAAACGACAACAGGAAAATGACTTAAATGGCTGTACACAGAGTGCTGCCAAATGCAAACCCAACACCCCAGAGGGAGAGATTCCCTCTACCCTATTTCACTTCTGGTAACCGCAGACTGTTGTCATTGTTTACCTTGATTGGATGTCCCGCAGGGGAGAGAGTCAGTTGGTAACTTCTCGGTGTCCTGAGTCCATGGGGGATTTAGCCATGTGACTTCCAGTAACTAGAGAGAGGTCCAACCTAAAGGGTGACCTGTGCTTGGACTAGACCCATCTCTACCAGGAATGTTCACAGGAGCCATGCGAGCTCTCCCTTCCATGCTGCACTGCGCCTCTGAATCCGATAGACAACACCAGCTGAGTGTGAGGGGTCTAACCATGTTCTCTTCTTCACTCTTGCTCCCCCCTGCAGGTTTGCGAAACTCTTGCTTCGCCTCCCCGCCCTCCGATCCATTGGCCTGAAATGCCTGGAGCACCTGTTCTTCTTCAAGCTAATAGGAGACACGCCCATCGACACCTTCTTGATGGAGATGCTGGAAGCACCCCACCAAATGACATAGAGAATCTCAGCTGGGTCAGTCCCTTCACCCAGCAGGGGCCTCAGCAGCCTCCTCCCACCTCCACTCTTCCTCTTCCTCCTCCCTCTCCCCAGTGCCAGAGACCCCATCCGCTCTTCTCTGTCTGACCCAGGGTGACACCCCGCTGGCCCTTGCCTCCTCGTCACACTGACTTCTGCTCATTTTGTCACCGCTGCATCGAAGGGGCTGACGATTGTTTTACTATTTTAGATGTAGAGAGGTGGGATGTAGCGTTTCAGAAGCAAACAACCCCCCTGCTCCGCCTCCTGGCACACCTGAGTTTGAAGCCAAACTGAAGGCCAGGCTTCTCAGCTCCCTGTCTGCCCCTGCCGTAGTTGGGTTTGGATTTCTGCATGTGGCTGAGATGATTGGTTGGAAGCAGGCAGCGGGGTTGATCCCACCCATAGGAACTCTGAGCTGCTGGGGTTTGGATGGACTGGGGGAGTGGTTTAATCCTGCTTACCCACAGCTGGATATTTTCAGAGGATGGAGTTTTTGAAAGAGGAAAGAATATATATTTTTGGTTTCTAACAATTAGTATTTACTTCTCTCGAGGAAAGCCGCTCTGGAATGGCCCCTGCCATGTCGCGAATGAGGATTTTTTGCAGAGCCTTCTCTTTTAAATGAAAAGCAGGGGATTGTGCGATTGATCGCTTATCCCCTTCACCCTCCCCAAACTAATGACCTGAACGGAGAGATGACCAGTCACACCGAGAGACTGAGCCCCCCTCTGTGTGTGGAGGGCAGTGTGGACGGCGGTGACTTCAGTGCCCTGCTTTCCTTCTGGAAAAGCAACAGCGTGTCATGATTTTTCCAAAGATGACTATTCTCTCAGTTGTGGAGCTAGCCAATCAAAACACGAACCATCCGGATTGCACAAGTCTGTAGCGGTTGCTTTAAGGCTGCAGTGATTCCAATTCCCACTCCCTCCTAAGAGTCTTACTGGGATCCCTACCTCTCCCTTAACACGCAGGCATTCGTCATGACCCATAACGCTACGTGCATTTCACATTCTGGTGTCCACGCACACTTGCTCAATCAGGCCAAGCAAACTGGTTGATGTTAGATTGTCAGGGCTTCTGGGAGAGCCAGTTTGCCTGGCAGTAGGACTGATGGCAGAGTGGTGCGAATAACCGATTCTTCAGCTCACGTGTACGTCGATAGGGCCCAATTCATCACCGTTTTGCAAATCATTGACACCAGTGTAAAATGTTACCACCCTCATCTGACGATTTGGCAGCATGGGTGTAGATGACTGCACAGGGTGCCAGGCAATGATAAATTGGGCCTTAGGGCAGCACTTAATTGGTGAGATTGATTGGTGAAGTGAGGGCTGTGCCTTCCCCAAAACTCTTCCCCGTCTGCTCTAGTTATTGATTTTTGTGGGTGATTTGGTGCTCCCCACAGGGATCAGGAAATGGGGCTGCAGCTCTGTCCTAGTGGCCAAAAAGGTGATTTTCCATTTTCTGGTTAAATATTACATTTACCATCTCAGGATAGAGATTTCAAAGAAATCCCCTCATCCTCCCCCCGCAAAAAACCCTTTTGCTTTCTCCATTGGACTCTCGCACCATTTTCTTAGAACAACACGTGATGAGCATTCAGGAACACCTCCATTTTGGAAGGGCCCGGGCAGGAAACCTTTGCCATGCCTGGGGAGATATCCGAGAACAGCAGGGAGCACTGAAGGGACTACTTACCTTTGCAGTACCTTTGGCTGATATTCCATGTTTCTGTGGTAATTCTGAGGGAAGCTGTATTATAAAAATTCTGCTTTAGCCAGGAAACAAAAATGCAGTAACTTTAGCTTGATCACTCAAAAATCTCTGAAACCTGTCAAAAATCTCTGATCTCTTGGACAGCAAGGTGGCTGGTGGGTTTTTAGGTAATTCCCTAAATGCTTCGATCCTAGAAACACAACCACTGAGGAGCAATTACTTGCTGATCAGAGATACTAATAAGATCTTATCTAGCCCATTCATTCGAAAGCAGGATCGTTCCCTACAGTCTATTCCCCAGAATTCTGTCCAGTCCAGTTTGAAATGACCTGAACAACTAGGACTCCACCACTTCCCTGAGTAGGGAGGTTATTTCACAGTCTGCTGGATCTCACTTTTACAGATTTTTCCAGCTCTTCAGCCTGTTGGCTGATTGTCCCAGGCAGCAGGAGACGCTTTAAAAAATGTGTGGGGAAGGTGGATCAGTTTTTTTGTTTTTTTTTTTTAACAGACTGCTGGTTTCTCACTTAATCCCTGTGCATTTGCCAAAACACAGCACTGCACAAACTCTGGGGAACATCCTCAGGGTTCTTAGGGGGCAGCGAATCAGCCAGGTGTCGCCTGAGGCCAAGCTAGAAAACAAATTAAAAGGAAAAGCAGAAGAAACAATGAAGTATCTTGCTGATTTTTTTTCAGAGGAAAGTAGCTATTCTTAACACACGAAAGGAGCATTTGGGCCAAGCCAAGAACGAGATGCCTGCAGTTGGCTCCCTACCAGGGACTTCCCTGCTACTTTTATTTGGTTTGTGCTTTAAAATGACAAATTATTAGCATCCAAAACTTTCTTCTCCTGCCCCATTCGTTACAACTGGCTCTTTAAATAGCTGCTTTGTGTCTCAGTCAAGTGTGATCAAGCAAATCCAACCCTGGGCTATTACCTGTGTTCATTCAGAGGCATGGTTGATACTCAATCTTGCAGCTGCTGCCCACTTTCCAAACATGCTGGCAGTTCAAATTCCATCAGCTAATAAGGCCATCTTGTAGTTAAACAAGGATTTCAGGTCATAACTGACCCCCAGGCCAGCCTGAAGTGTCAACTCCACAGAGGCAGGGAACGTGTTTGGCTGCGTTTCTTTGGCAGCCTGGGCGCTGCTGAAAATATTATTAAACAGCTTCGTCCTGGAAGAATTTGCCAAGGAAACAAGGCAAGAGAACATAGTTATCTAGAGGATGCCAATGTGGACCATCATGGTCTATGCATTTCCATCGGAAGCGTGAGAGAGCGGTCAGCAGGGGATTGCGGGTACCTGTAAACTTCCTACCAGGCTGGCACATGGGATCTGAGCCCAAAAGCATCATGGTTATTTTTTAACCAGCATTTTGGATCACCATCCCTGTCATTGCTACTGAATCTCAGGTGTTTAAACATTTTAGGAGTCTAAGAAGCCTGGATTATGTGTTATGTCTGCCTAGAGCCTGCTTGCCCGAGAATATCAGGGTGCTTTATTAAAGAGCCCATTGAATCTAGCACTGTAATAAACCTTTACTCTTGTTTATCTCCATTGGGCAGAACCCCCTTTTTTTTCAATTGGATGCTTGAAAGGAGCTGTGTTGGGACTGGAAGTCTGAGTTGCTGTTTGTTTTTCTAGGTTGCAAATGTGAGCTCTTAGCCAGCTTTTCATCAGCCGTCAGAAGGAGCTAGGGAACAGGGGCTGGTTTAGGCCAAAGACGGACTTGTGCGGGGGGGATGACGACTTCTGAGCCCCCCTGGGGAAAGGTGGGCAGAGCTGCGATCTAATGAGCATTCAGCACATCTCACCCACATTAATGTAGAACTACATCTGAGTCTAAACGGCTTCCCCAGCTCTTCAGTAAATAAATAGTACAGTATCCTAGAGCAATAGCGTCAAACACTGCAGTACCAGTATTAGAAACTTGAGCATCCCTGCAGAATACTGTAGAGTAAAGATGAAGTATCATCCAGCAGTTACAGCAGGCGGTTTGGCAGTCAGGACTCCTGCCAGTGACTTGTTGCGTAACCTTGGGCACGTTTCTGTGCCTTGGTTTTCCTTTCTTTAAAATGAGAATAATAATAATAATGCCTCCTAAGCATGGAGCATGAGGTTCTTTTTAATTTCGAGGGGTGTTTCAGCAGAGGTAGAGACAGATCTTCAACTGGTGCAGATCGGCAGAGCTGCATTGACGTCAGTGGGGGCTATGGTGATTTGTACCAGCTGAAGATCTGGCCCCCAGGGAGTCGAGGAAGCATTTGTAGGAACGTATTTTACCCTGAACAAACATGAACGACCCATTTCAGGACCTGCAAGCAACAGTTACCAAAATCAAATGCCAACCCAAATGTTCCCGACCCTGCTTGTTCCCCAGCTGCAGTGACACAGAAGCCCACATGGGCTCTGTGACTTTTGCAGCAGCAGCAGCAGCCTTAAAGTGACCTGCTTTTACTTGGATTTAATTGACTCCTTCATTTGTATCTTCCTTCACGTTGGTTTTTTTCCCCCTCCTCATCATTATAATTATTATAACTATAATACATGCTTGTTTGAAGAGGTGATACATGGGTAAAAAAGGAAAGGCACATTATTCACTAGAAAGCTAGGACTTTTACTTAACCAGACATTAGTATTCTCGCAAAATCTGGTTCGATTAAGGTGATTTATTTTTTAATTCTTGGTTGGTTTTTTTTATTATTATTATATTTGTTTGGTGGGACAATCTTTAATTTTCTAAAGATAGCACAAACATCAGCTCTTCAGCCACCCACCTACCACACTGGATGTTCTTCGCTGCCTTGTGTGTGTGTTTCCACTGGATCCTGGAACAAACTGAGCTTAAATCAATGTGCATTTTAGGATGTTTCCTCAAGAAGCCGTTGCACCTTCCCCCCCACTTTCTTCTCCCCCAATCCCTAACTCCCAAACACCCACTTCATGTAAAACCTTCACTGCGGAACTATTTGCGTGAAAGGCCTTGAAAACATACATGTACTGTATACTTAGGCAACATACAGTGTAACTGGCCCCATGGTTCCTGGCAGCCAAGCTGATCTCTGCACTTTCAACCTTTAGACAGCGGTTTCAACTCAAATCTGCGTCACATCCATTGAAGGGGAACGTTCCAGCCTAAACCCAGAGAAGTCTGCGGCGGGGGAAAAGTAATACATCAGATTGGTTTTGTCTCAAAGGTCCAGGACTGGAAAAGCAAATTGGCTACACCCCCAGTCCCTGGAGTTCTCCAGTGAACTGTAAGATCCAGTCTCTCTGAGTCGTATATTTCTTTGGAACAGACTGCAGCCCACTTGCGTAACTGAAGAATATATTCAGCCACCCATCCTTTGACTCTTTGCCTGCTCATCCCTTCCCACACTGCCACCACCCATCAGCCCGTTGAAATCAGTGCGGGTTAAGTGGCACACATCCAGCAGCAAAGCTGACACAACCTTCTACCTGGACTGTTCAGCAGCCCTGAAGTGATTTGCTCTTTTCCAAAGGGCAAGAGGAACTTAAATGTTTGTAATCAGCAAATGAACAAAGGCTGGTTCTTCATCATCAGAGCAGGACCAAAGGAACCACACCTGACCACCAATCTCCCAGTCAACATTTTGGCACTCTTTGAGGACAATCCTAAATGGTGGTGGTAGAAGTGGGGTCAAGGATGGAGACATGTGACCTTGTAGCTGGCCCCTGTTACCAGCTGTGGCTAAATAGCTGATGATGTCCCCATCAGTGACCAGAGTGCATGATCTATTTTAAGTTGATACATATGTGTGTGTGTATACATGTATGTACTGTAGATATATACACTGTATAAATATCCTCACTCACATATACATATATTATAACCGTAGCAAATTACAGACTTTTTGTTTTCTTTAATTTGATTCTTTTTTTTTTCTCATACATTTTTGCTTCATGTAAGCAAGTACATTGTATCAGAACCCCTTCTGGATTGGCTTGCACCAAGACCGGATCTTTATAACTCAAGACAAAGGAAATGCATCTATTTTAAGATGCTATTTTTTTTTTTTTTTTTAGAAGCAGGTGATTTGACTAAAATAGCTTTAGCAATTCCCAACACTTAGCGAGAGATGCCTTAGCTATGGGGTGCATAGCTAAAATAAAATAAAATGTAGAAAGAATTACAAAAATAAAAAAACAGAAATAAATAAAAAAGAAGATAAGGAAAAAATATCTAAATCATCAATAAAGTTTAAAAAATCTATTTTTGTACAAATGTAATTTTATCCCTTACATATTCTTTGTTTTATTTCTGCTTCTATAGAGATTGTTGTAAACTCTTTCTCTCTGTATAGATGTTCCACCAAAGGGACGGAAACCTGAATGAGAGGGAGAAAAAATTGACAGTGTTTTAAAGGCTTTCTATGAAATCTCTTTGGAAATATTTTTTTTAATGGACTTTTTATTCTTTCCCCCACCACTTCTGAAAAAAAAATTTTTTTGGTCTCTTGTCATGTTTATCCGGCGTTCCTGCAGGTCTGTTTTACTGTGAAATCACTACCGTATATTATTGTTCACACACACACAAAATGCTGCTGGAAACGCCAGTATTTTGATGAACAATTGTATTAGAATTGTAAAAAAAAAAAAAAAAGAGGAAAAAAAAGAGGAAAAAAAAGAAAATATACGAGCGTTTTAAAATATAATCTGGTTCAAGCCCTCTTTTGTTCTTAATGGGTGTTCTTTGATTTACTCTTTAAAGACCTGATCCCAACCCCATTGAAGTCAATGTAAATACTCTCTCATTGACTTCCCTGGGCTTTGGAGTGTGTCCTCCACCGGTACTTCAATGGAATCACTGGCAAACTTCATGTTTTCTCACTTGTATCTGTAATGAACCAGTGTGCACAGCTCCACCTTGTGGCCACCTTTAGTCCTGTTTACATTTCCACTCCACTTGACTTTTTCTTTTCCCTTCCTGAACTGGGCAACCTGAGCTGCTTGATGTCAGAAGAAGAGAGGCTGAGATTTGACGGCTCTCTTAGGTTATTGTTACCATTTGGTTTACACATGATCTGTCTACGGTTGGACAGAGGACAGAAATTCAGTCCAATAGCCAGCCACCGTTGTGTGAGAGCTGTATTCCCGTTCGAGAACCACAGAACTGTCCACTCCAGTGTAAAACACAAGCTGTTCCTCGCCTCCCAGGCCACGCGCTCCAGAATACGCAGCCTGTATTGGTGTTATGCTCTGCGATACATGATCGCAAGTGGCCCGAAACCTTTCAATTGGGTTGGGCGGGTGGGTGAAGGAAAACAGACATTTTCCTTTCCCCATTGCCTGCTGCTCAGCCAGATGAGCCTTTGAATTCGCCAAAACACCTGTAGGACCAGAGAATGCTCGTGGTACAGTTCAGAACTCCAGGCACTCCTAGAAGCAAACTGGATACTAGCTGTTATGGGGAAAAAGCTTTCCCTCTGCCATAGGCAAATCACCCGTTTAACACCTTCCAGATTTTGCCTTAGATAACTTAATAGAAATACAGCGGTGGCATAATTCTCCCTGCTTAGCATAGAGGATCCCGAGGGAATGCTGCAGATACTCAGGTGTTGTAATTAATGCAGGCCATTGGAAAGCTGTTAAGGCTGATCACTGGAGATTAGGGTGAACAGGTCATAGGGATGGTGCCTAGTGTAAAACCCCTACTGCTGATGACGAGAGCTGTGGATGCACAATGGAAGATCCAAAGCCAATGTCAATTCAGTTTTGCACCTTGTGGGCCGTAGTCAGACTTAAGGGTGTAGAGTCCTGTGCACATGGAGTCCTTTCATTGACATCAAGAAGGCTTTGGATCAGGCCCTACGTGGACAATTGATATCAATGGGAGGGGTGGGTGAGGGTCTGGGAACAGAGGTTACCCCTTGGCTTTTTTTTTGCTGCGGGGGATTGTTTTGTGCAGCTCTGGTGCTTGTGATCAGCCAGTATAGAGAGGAGCAAGGCTGCCTTTTGGGTAGCCTATTCCACTGTAAAACATCAATACCTTGAACTAATATAGCAGGACCATGATTGCACAATGGAGACGTTAATCCATGCCCCTTTGGGATCCACTAAGTGTTCAGCTCAGCATGGAGAGTAGGTGCACCCCGGTCCTTTTGTGACACTTCTCACTCGCACAGTGACAACATTATATTGACACTCTGTCCCCTGAGGGCTGGCATGAAGATACCAGGAGACTGTGTTGTTTTAAACCCACCTTCCCTGCTGATGTCCAATTTGTGCCCTCAAGTGGGAGCATTGCAGTGTAGGGAGGTGTCACTGAATTCCTAAGGCAGTTTGTGTGTGAACAGAAGCTGCTAGCAGTGGTCTGGGCTCTAACCTGAACTTGGTGCTACAAAGAAGACTGGATTTGCTCTTGGGTTTACAGTGGAGGTGAATGTTCTCCAATTGCTACAGAATAGATCAAAATGTTGGGGGGGGGGATTAAATTGAGTTAGTGCTGATCTGTGAATTTAAAAAGCACTTACATTTTGTTTGAAAAGGGAGGTGGGGGAAGTTTTTACCTTAAACTCAGCATATTTAGCAAGATCGCTGCATTTTGTGCTCACTAGTGCAAGCCTTTAGGAAAATATACTGCAGTAATAATCTCTAATGCTACAGCGTAGTGTTACTGCGGAGTTTGAGGCTGTTATTGCACAGTACTGTAGTCATGATGGTTAAGTATACAATACTGCAACAGGGTGAAATGGCAGAAGATGGGCCCCAAGGAGCTTTGGACCTGACTCTGAGCTAATGCTGGTGCAGCTCAATTGACTTCAGCGGAATCTTTCCTGATTCATGCTGTAACAGAGATCAGGGTCAGGCCTGGTATTTGGATCTAGATTAGGGTTAAGATAGCAGTTCGAAGCTCTGAGAGCTAGGGATTGGGTTGTGGTTCAGGTTTGACAGCTGCAAAAATGGTGTGAGCTGTTCTTGTGAAATGTTGTCTTGTGGGATTCTGGGGAGATCAGCTGATTTGGGCCATTTTGAACGGGGGACTTCTGGATAGAGCAGCTGCTATATGAGATGTTAGCCATCTTGTGCTGTTCCCCTGGAAATATTGGCTGCATCCAGTCTGAAAACAGATCCCATTCACCGCTGGATCCCCTCCAAATCCATCGCATTTGAGGGGGAATATTTGGAATTGAGCTTCCAGTTTTGCCCCATTTCTAAGGACAAATTAAAGAAAAATGGAGAGTGGTTTTTACAAATAGGTTAGATTTTACATGGTAATGGGGAAAAGGACACAGTCGGATGCTGCTGAGTGAAGAAAGGTCTGGCCTTTTCATCGCTGAAATCCCACATATGCTCTTAAATACACAGTGCCCATTCTGGGCCTCTGCATAGGGCTGAAATTCACCCCCCACCCCCAAGGCAGTATCTCAGGTGAAGGGAGGGGCAGACGGCACACAGAGCCTGTTGAGTTGACAAATTTCATTGCTCCTGTCTCAGAGGCTGGTTATTTGTCTTGTTAATCTGCAGGCAGCTGTATGTGTTTGGAGAATAAATATTTACCTCCCTTTCCTGTGTTTTTTGGTTCTCCCAGGGTGGAGCTAGGTGGCTAGGACCGATGGCGATGTGATATTCTTTCTCTTTAACAGAGGACTCACATTCACTGTAGTGATTGATGAGTAGTCTGACTTAAAAGCTGCTCACTGGTTTTAAAATACATTTATTTTTAACATAAGATTTGTTTATATATTTAAAAAAGAAAGTAAACATGAAACAGCTTTCTTTCTTTCTTTCTTTCTTTCTTACTCTTCACAACTTCTTGGTGATCAACACCGTGTTTGTCGAAATCTCACTTGTGAAGTTTCTCTATTCTTCCCTCCCCTCTCCATTCTTTTCCTCTCCTCCCGGGGAGGGTTCATGATCAATTTGCTGCTTTCTCATGGCCTTAGAACATGAAGGGAGTAAGAGGTGCGGAGCTTGGAAAACTTTTTGGGATTTCTCTGTCTTATGCAGAGATCAAAGCGCCTGTTTTGAACTTTTCTTGATTTGCTGGTATCAGATGATTATTGTTTAATGTAATAAAATCTGTTACATACAATCAATGTGTGGGGGCTTTTCTTCTGTCCAAATTTTGGGCACCAGAAATTAGGGCCTTGAGTGTACAAAACTCATCTATATTTTTAAAGATCTCGTTAGCCTGTGGAGGAGAAGCTGGACACTGGTGCATGGATGCTACCCCAGCTGGTTCAGAGATCTGACTAGCTAGGTCCACTCAGAGTGTTGTCAACTCTCGCGATTTTATCATGAGTCTTGTGATAGCTGGTGTTTTTTCTTAAATCCCCAGCTCCTGAAGGCATGTGATAAAAGGCAAATCTCAGCTTTCGTTTTGAAAAAAATCATGATTTTTAAGCCAGTCTCATGATATTTTGGGTCCTGACTCCTGATGTTTGAATGCTCGGGGCCGGCAATACTGCGAGCATCCAGAAGTTTGGCGCTGATCCAAAATCTGATGAGAACAGGCCGGAAATACTGCAGGAACAGGTGTCATGGATGTATTTTGGCACTTGCAACACTGACAAGCAGGAGCCGGGGAGGGGAATGAATCAAGAGGGGTTTGTCTGAACCACAGCCAGAGTCAGGAGCTGTTGGAGAGGTGAGCTGCAGGGAACAGGACTCCTGTGTTCCAACACTGGCACCCAGGAGCTCTCCATCTGTGGCGATGGGCAAGTCTCCTGAATTCATCTTTGTCTGCCTTGGGCTCTGTGGCTGTGAAATGGGAATAATAACAGTGGCCAGCCCCAGAAGGGTTGCGCAGGCTGGTTAATGTTAGTAGAGCTCTTCGTGGAGACATACTAGGACATCCAGGTTGCATTTGGGAAGTCCAGGTCTATTGGTTTGGCTATCGCTAGTTGCATTATGGTTTTAAATTTATTTTTAAAAAAAATTCCAAAAATGTTTCAGAATGGTTGAAACCAACAGAAAACCTTTTGTTTGACCCGAAACATTTTTTTCCCGACTTTTTGAAATTGCCAGCGAACTGACAAATCCATTATTGGTCCAGCGTTCTAGGTGGAAACATATCGAAGCTAAGTGCATGCTTGCAGTTGCAGGCAAAGCCCTGGGAAGGATTGTCTTGTGGTTTAAGCACTGGCCTGGGTGTCAGGAGTCCTTGGCTCTATTCAGCTGGGCCACCAACTTGCTTTGTGACAATGGGGGAGTCACTTAACTTCCTCATGCCCTGTAGTAAGTGACACCACTTCCCTTCCTCAGAGGAGTGGGGAGCGGGAATTGTGAGCCATCAGCTGCTAGGGTTTGTAAAGTGGTTTGAGATCCTTAGATAGGAGAGCAAAGTTCCATTATTTCTTGCCATGACTCAATCCTGCGGGGATAGAGGCTTTGGGAACACAACACGAGAGATCATTTCTCTCTCTGGTACTTTGTCATTTACTAACTGTCCAAGGAGCGTGGGCTAGTTCTCTCTTAATAGTCCCTCTCGAGTGGCTTTTTCACCCCAACCAGCCCATTAGGATAATCATCGTAATGCCTCCAAGGAGGGTCAGGGCAGCTGTCACTGTGGGCACAGTTCCAGCGGCCTGAGTGGGGACCTCAATCTTCTGCATCAAGTTGCCAAGCAACACTTCTGCAGGCCTCCCCATCACATCCGGTATCCATAGTGACATCTCTCCCCAGAACAGAGATACTGGACTAGCTGAGTTTGTTGTGTGAAGAAGCTCGAGCCTTTTGGCCTGATTCTCCTCTCTCACACACAGGTGGAAAGGGGCATTGAATTATGCTGGGTGTAAAAGCAGGGTGAATGGAGGGCGAGTTCCCTTGAATTTTCCTTCTGGTCTAGGAGTAATACTAATATACCATCAGGACTCACGCTGAATCACAGTCTGTCTATCTCTAGTACTTTACATCATGGCACCGGTTGCCTAGCAGAGCATATGAGCACTGCACAGTCTTTAATGTATTTACCCTCTCCGCGCCCTTGTGAAGCAGATTGTTACCCATTTTACAGAATGTGAAGGGGAACTGAAGCCCAGAGAGACTAAAATGCCTAGCCTGAATTGAGGAAAGGGTTTATGCGAAGAGATGCCTTTTGCATTGTGTTGTAAAGTCCTATGAAAGTCAATGAGTTCTAAGGGCTTTGGAATCAAGCACGAGTTGATTCTGGTCTCCTGCTGCAGAGAGTTCCACAGATGGACAAGATAGCTTTGCCTCCAGCACATCTGAGATTTGGACTGGGTTCTAGCTGCGTTATCCCTGTGGATCTTAGACCCCTAACACAGGATATAGTAATCATCTAAATATTTTTTGTCCCATATTGCCCCATTATAATTGCTTTCAGGCAGGGCAGTCAAACCGTTCTGAATGTGATGTCAAACTCTGATTGGTTGTTTGGCTCATCTATAGCAGTGGATAAATGATATAACCCACTTAATCTGCATTCCTGTTCATTGAAAGGGGAGCATCGGTGTCATTCTGTTGTTTGCTAAGTGTCTGCTTTTGTTAGCACACTCATTAACACAGAGGGATATTGAATAGCAAGGCCCAGCTGTCCAGAGAACTGTATACTCTGGCTGTCACCAAACCATCAGGCCAGATCTGCTCTTATCTCTCTGTAGGAGGCTATCCTTTGGGAGACTCCTTCAGAAAAAGCAACGCTCCTCTTGATTAGCCAAACTTGCTGGGGATAGAGGTTTCAGGGTGGGCCTGGAGTCCCTGCAAAGTGGTATGCTGACAAGAGCAAAGTGATGCTGCCACCTGCTGGGCAAGGTGCTGTACTTGCCTTTAGAGGAACATTTTTAAGAAACCCTGTTGGGAAATCTTTGCAACCAGAGGAGGCAGAGGTCTGGGAGAGGCTCTCAGTGGTTTTAATTCAAAGAGGCTCACGGGGGAGCTCTTTAATCTTGTTTCATGCCCTATGGGTCTGTGGTCACTCTGAGTTTCTGTTCTGAGCAAAGGCCAGAACTAGAAGAGAAACTCAGTTGAAACTAGTGGCCATCAACTGTCCCCAAGCTCACCTGAAACTCGGACCTGCAGCTCGCTCTCTGGTTTGTACACATCCGTGGGCCCTACTTAATGTGTGCAACTCCGTGTGCATGAATTCTCACAGCCATCTCCTATTGTTTCAAGCATGGCTGCTGCTTCTTTCTGTTTTGCACTCCCTACGACCAATAAAGGCACACTGAGAATTTTGTAATGTTGTGATTAGATTTAGGATATTCTTTCCTGACCCTTGCAGCCAATCAGCTTATTCCCTTGAAGCATGTGCTTTACTTTCACCATAGCTTCTTTAACCTTCCACCCTCACGCTCTGCACTGTATTTGACTCACTAACTTCCTGCAGCAGTGTGTTCCGTAAGTTGACTGACCACTGTGTAAAGCAGTATTTCTTCTGGAATTCTTGTTGTTAAAATATGGGAAAGGGTTAAAAATAAGCTTATAGTTAAGTACTCCGTAAAATGTGTAATTTTCATTTCAAAAGGTCTTGAGATCCCAAGGGAGGAGAAAAATACTATCCATAAAAATTTAGCATCCCTTTCCCCTGCAAAGCTGGTGGCAAACCTTTGTTTGGCTTTACATGCAACATTTTCCATATGGCACTCCAAAACATCTCACTTCCACTAAACCCACGTTTTGTTTTTCTACTAACAAAGTGAGGAATGACTCTTGGCTTGGTGATTTGCCACTGCAGAAGGCTAAAAGAAAAGATGCTTTTAAGACTCAGTCCCTCACAATCTAAACCCATTCAGATGGTCACACTGAAATTCATTAGAAGGGCTTTATGTGCAACCACTCTCTCGGTAATATACTTTAACTGGTGTTTGAGAGAGAGAAAACTATTATGCCAGGGAGAACCTAATTAAAATCATTAAAATATGCATAATTATTAATATACTGATAAAGATGGAGTTGACTGAAGACCAGAAGGACTCTGATTCACAACTGAAATAATGAAAGCACTGTGTGGTTGATTCACTGTGATTCATGGGGTCATATTATCAGTTGCTCGCTCTCTGTGGGCTTTTTATTATTTATAGTGTAGTATAGTACAACCAAAATCAGGGCCCCACTGTGCTAGGTGCTGTACACACACATAGTAAGAGACAGTCCCTGCCCCAAATGCTTGGGATGAGGCAAAGAATGAGAGGGGAAACTGAGGCACAGGGAGGTGACGTGTCTTATCCAAGGTCATACAGCTGGTCAGTGGCTGAGCTGGGAATAGCCCCCAGGCCTCTTGACTCCAAAACTAGTGCCTCATCCACTAGCCCATGACAAATTTCTATGCCTGCAGTTATTCCCAAATCCTGAGAGTTTTGCTTCTTTCACCGTGAATGTTTATTTGTCTGAAAAATAAAAGACATTATTTACTGTTTGTCATCCTAAGAGGGAAAAAAACAGTTGCTTATCCAATCACGGGAGCAGAAAGAATACCACGTGACTTAGGGGACCAGTCACACAGGATGAATGATGAACAGTGATACTTTGCAAACAACTCACAGGTTGCAAATTATCCATCTGGACCTTTCAGTGTATCCCTACGAACAATGAATACAGGTGCTGGTGCTGGGGGTCAGCTCACCACTTATGCACTAACCAAGGGAGGAGCAAGCAGTCTGACTAGCTCTGAGGACTAATGATAGTACCTAGCGATTATCTAGCACTTTTCATCTGAAGACCACAAGGTACTGTACAAAGGAGGTTCGCATCGTGACCCCCCACTTTACAGATGGGGAAACTGAGTCACACAAAGGAGCTATGACTTGCCCAAGGTCACCCAGCAGCAGAGCCAGCCTTCCTGAGTGCCTAGTCCAGTGCTCTGTCAATGGTGATCAATGGAACCTAATCTTTGAATAACCAATTTATTTGAGCATGAGCTTTCGTGAGCTACAGCTCACTTCATCGGATGCATACTGTGGAAACTGCAGAAGACATTATATACACAGAGACCATGAAACAATACCTCCTCCCACCCCACTCTCCTGCTGGTAATAGCTTATCTAAAGTGATCATCAAGTTGGGCCATTTCCAGCACAAATCCAGGTTTTCTCACCCAACCCCCCCAAACTCACTCTCTTGCTGGTAATAGCCCATCCAAAGTGACCACTCTCTTTAAAATGTGTATGATAATCAAGGTGGGCCATTTCCAGCACAATCTCTCTGGTCACGCAATCACAGACATGAAGGTCGCTATCTTACAACAAAAAAACTTCAAATCCAGACTCCAGCGAGAAACTGCTGAATTGGAATTCATTTGCAAATTGGATACTATTAATTTAGGCTTAAATAGAGACTGGGAGTGGCTAAGTCATTATGCAAGGTAGCCTATTTCCCCTTGTTTTTTTCTACCCCCCCCCCCCCGATGTTCTGGTTAAACTTGGATTTATGCTGGAAATGGCCCACCTTGATTATCATGCACATTGTAAGGAGAGTGGTCAGTTTGGATGAGCTATTGCCAGCAGGAGAGTGAGTTTGTGTGTGTGTTGGGGGGGGTGTGTGTTGGGGGGGGTGTGTGTGAGAAAACCTGTATTTGTGCTGGAAATGGCCCACCTTGATTATCATGCACATTGTAGGGAAAGTGGTCACTTTGGATGAGCTATTACCAGCAGGAGAGTGAGTTTGTGTGTGTGGTTTTTGGAGGGGGGTGGGGGGCTGAGAAAACCTGGATTTGTGCTGGAAATGGCCCACCTTGATTATCATACACATTTTAAAGAGAGTGGTCACTTTGGATGGGCTATTACCAGCAAGAGAGTGAGTTTGTGGGGGGGGGGGGGTGAGAAAACCTGGATTTGTGCTGGAAATGGCCCAACTTGATGATCACTTTAGATAAGCTATTACCAGCAGGAGAGTGGGGTGGGAGGAGGTATTGTTTCATGGTCTCTGTGTTATCATGTCTTCTGCAGTTTCCACAGTATGCATCCGAAGAAGTGAGCTGTAGTTCACGAAAGCTCATGCTCAAATAAATTGGTTAGTCTCTAAGGTGCCACAAGTCCTCCTTTTCTTTTTGCGAATACAGACTAAAACGGCTGTTACTCTGAAACTAATCTTTGAATGAGGCCTCCTGGCTTCTCTCCATGTGCCAAGCTGAGGCAGCTGATTGCCTCAAGTCTGGTCTAGTTAATTTCTCTCTCCAGTGCTTGTTCCTGGAATTGTCGCTATGGAAATGCACAGCCAATCCACCCAGTCAGACCTGGTTAATGCATGCTAGGTTTAGCTGCATACCTGCTGGTCTAAATGGCTTTAAACAAGGACTTGGTCTGATTCTCCAACATGGACTGCTGGCTGGTCTGCCGGCTGCACTGGAGAGAAAGCACCAGTGAGATGCTGTCATGGAAGAAATCGGAGACGACGTTTCAGATGGATTCTTTTCAAAAGGTTAGGGTAAGATTTAAGCCTTACATTTTTCCCAGGCTCCCTGCTGGATGGTCTAAACTTTGGGATTTTATGTTTCCACCAGTCTTTGCTGCACAGAGGGGGACACTGAGGCCCAGAGCAAGGAGGTGAGTTGCTCAGGGTCAAACAGCAACTGACTCAGATAGGCCTGACTCCTTTTAGCCCAGTGCCTTCCCCACTGGACTGAGTGAGGAAACAAGGCTTGACTCCATAGAGGTAAACATAAGGGTACATCACAATGGTTTTATTGGGGAAAATGTTGTTCATTTGTGGGCTGATCCCCCAAAGCGCCATCCTTGGCGTGGAGAGTAAGTCCCAAGGACAGCGTAATAACAAAGCCATTATGGATCTCATGCTTTTGGTAGCTGGTGGTACCATCTGGCTTTTCTTTGGTACAAACAAGCAGTTACTAGTTTCCGAGTTCACAGGTGGTCTTCACTCTTAGAGAGTAGTTGAAAACATAATTAGCGTGGGAGTCAAAGATGGCATGGAAATGCTCTGTAGAACATTTTTTGAGTGGGCATGAACGCGGTTACATAGACACTAAGGTGATACGTGCCAAGGGAACAGCCTAAGGTAGGTAGATATTTCAACCATGCAAACTAAGCAGAGGACAGTATTTGTTTTCCTTTGTGCATTTCATGGGGTGAAAGGTGCCAAACTGTGACAGTGTTGGAAAGTCAAGTCAATTGATTAACCAGAGCACAGTATGGGCGGTGTCAAGACAAGCTTTCCCTGGTATTCCACTAGCCCTGACCTGAAATGGGAACGAGTCCGAACTGAAACATGTCTGAGTTTCGCAGCCTCTTGGCTGAGACCAGCTGTGATGGTGGACACCTCTTCTGTGCAAATGGAACTGAGACCCCCACAACAGAAGCTGTAATTTGCTAACAACTTCCAGTCACTAGTGCCCCGGGAAGAGAATGTTATTTTCAAAATACCTGCAGGGTGTTTGCAGTTATAGACATCCGGACTCTCCTGTCCCTTATTCACTGGCTGAACAGGCAGATCAGGACGTGGGTCTCTGGGGGATTTGAAGACATTGCCCAATCTTTGAAACTAGATGCACCAGTCCTACTCCAGAGGGCTGAACAAGGCTTGCTTGAGCCTGTCTGTTCCTGCTCAGAACTAACAGTTACTTTATTATTGCAAAGAACGTGCTGTGTTCGTCAGGAAAGCACACGACTAAGACCCCATAAACCCTGCACAGCCCAGCCCTTGTCTCGAGGGGCCCTCCCTTTCAGATGATGGAGGGATTTTTGCACGCGTCACAGTAGAAGAATGACATTTCCCCATCTTGTTACATGAAAAATACCCTGGGACTGAGCCCTATGGACTCTAATCTGCCTCCTGGAAGAGACTAAGTGACAGGTGATTCCTGGAGGCAAATACAGAGGCTCACGTGGCAGCTCCATGACTATGGAATATCAAGCTAATAGGGATTTTGGCGTGGCCAGTTTTTTTATCCGTTTAACCATACTCGCTACGGCCAATCCCAAGTGTTCAAAAGTCGTGAGTCACAGCCACAAAATTCAGGAGCTTGACTTAAAAATCACGTCATCTAAGAAAAATCATGCTCACCCTTGCGCTGAGTGGTGGCAGAATTCTGGGGCCGTAGTACGCTGGCTTCAGAGTGGAGGAGAAACCAGTGACACCGAGTATGGGTATGTGTAGGGTGTAATTTGCTTTGTTTGCACACACACCTGATCCTGGAACAGAAGCAGTCACAAACCGGATGCAGGCAATCCTCTGGGCCAGGAACCACACACCCACAGCCCATGCACAGGAAGCTACTCTGTCCCAAGAACTGATCCTAGTTAGAGAGATTCAGGTGGACAGAAAACCCTCTGACTGCTTGCCACAGCTTCTCTCAAAAGGCAACTGCATAACAAAACTGAGAACAATACAGCCATTCTTCCAAGACCTAAATCTTCTCGCACACAAAGAACTTGGAAGACTAAGTGTAATAGCACCAGCTGGTGACACCAGAAATACATGTTGGATTCTTTTTAACCTTCTGGGTTTTGAACCTTTTGGTCACACTAGAGTCATATGGACAGGCTTTGCTTCACAACCATAAAGGTTAGGAACTTTAATTTTTAAATGCAAGTTGAGAGTCTCAAACAATCACGTGAGTCCAGGAGCTGTGGCTTTATAGAAAACACCAACTTTTGTGAGAATTCTGGGATTTTGTGAGAATTCTGGAATTTTGTGAATAAAATCTGGAATGTTGGCAATGCTGCCTACAGTTGCTGAAATGGTCGAACTACTTTATTATCTCCCAGTTCTCAATCTTACATTAAAAAACAACTGTTTTACCATTAAATACATATCAGTACCCTGTGTCCTCCTGCCACATCCTTCTTTCTTTGTCTGCTTGAAAATAGCAAAACTCGGAGGAAGTAGCCTGTGGGAGCAGTTGCCCTGAGTATGCGAATTTGCCTCCCCCACTCTCTACTTTTGTATGAGGATCTAACCAATGAGCAAGATCAGTCCTGTGAACTGAGCATCTGCTACAGTTTACTAAAGTCTGGTCTGGTGGTTCCCTTAGGTGTAGAGATTTCACAAACTCTCCCTAGAACTCCCTGCCGTGAGAGGTGGTTGGCACTGGTTTGGTTTCCTTGCATGGAGAAACAATCTTCAGGGCATCCAAACAGGGCCTTAGGGCAGGATTGTGTAGGCCCCATCTCCATGTGTAGCACGGATCTGCCATTGACTCTGAGGGGAGCTCAATGCACTGATGAGATACAGGGCTGGGCCCAAACTGGGATGCACCCAACTTTGCAACACCAAGGGGCAGGGCCGGCTACAGCTTTTTTGCCTCCCCAAGTGGCAAAGAAAAAGAAGCAGGACCTGCCGCCAAATTGCTGCCGAAGAGGGAGTGAAGGGCCCGCCGCCGAATTGCCACCGAAGACGCGGACGTGCCGCCCCAATCACGGACAGAGCGCCTCCCCTTTCTATTGGCTGCCCCAGGCACCTGCTTCCTTCGTTGGGGCCTGGAGCCAGCCCTGCCAAGGGGTACGCTGGCCATTTTCCAGGAGTCCGGGGCCTGCACCGAAGTTGCTTGTAGACTGGTGTGCATTTAAAAATCTGGAGTAAATGCACACAGCCTCAATATTGACTGGGACCTGCATTTTCCATGGTGGAGGAATAAACTTCCTTGTTGCACAGGCTAACAAGCTCTTGCTCAGATGCATGCTCAACTTTCAGAAAGTGCACAACTGAGGGCCTACTTGTATTTCAGACTGGTTACAATGTGCTCGGAGCACATGTATGATCTGTTGATTTTCTGGCTGTATAGAAATATTTTATCTTCTCTTGTTAGTGTTACCAGGAATCTTGAGGTGGCAAGACTCTGCTGACTATCACAGCTATTTCTTTGCTTTGCTAATCCCCGGGCCACCATCTTATCCATCACGTCTGCATTTGGAGGGATCTCACAGGTCTGATGGACAGGTCTGTAGGAGAGACTGGCTGGCCAAAACGATTTGCTGGGAGCTATTTGCTGCTGTCATTCCAACCTCTTTGCCTGAAGAGGTAATAAAGATGAAAGCCAATAATAAGCAGTCATCCATCAGTTTTGTAAAAGGCAATAATTTAGTTCTATTCCGTGGTTGCAGGGAGTCCATTTGAGGCTGCTGTTATTGACAGTAAAGCTATATGTTTTGTTTCTTAAAGTACTCGTGAGCCTTCAGAGCCTTTGAAGGCCACATTTTTTTTAAATCTAAAAATATACAACCGGTGGCAGATTTTCAACACTGCAGAAGAAAAGAGAAGGATTTATGTTCAGAATCCTACTGAGCGGTAAGAAACTTACGAGTACAGACAGGACTGAAAAACCGATAATGCACTAGCAATAAAGGAAAGTTCCATTGTAAGAGGCCAGAACCGGTGTCATTTGGAGTAGCTCTATTGAAATTAGTGGAGCGTTGCGGATTTACACTTCACTGAGGCTCCTCTCCAAGGAATGTGGTGCCTTGAAAGCCAAGTCTGATTTCATTTATACCAGTATAATTCAGGAGTGACTCTACTGCAGCCAGTTGAGTTTCTCTGCTGTAAAACTGATGTGAATAAGAGGAGAATCTTCCGCTGTCTGGAGCGGCAGCAGGGCCCAGTTGACAGGGCATGCACCACAGATCGTGAAGATTAGAGCGGACTATGCAATTTGAAATTCAAGTTGCATCAGTTTGTTACGTTAGGTGCTTGTGCTACATAAGCTAGTTACCGCCTGTCAGACACGGTACTGCTCACAATGCACAGTTCAAACAGTCTGCAGACCAAGAACCGGTCACTGCAGCAATTCATGAATAATTCTGAATAATAAATAAGTTTGAGGCTGTCGTATTCTGTTCACAGACAAATTGCAAACAGAATTAAAAGCAGAAGTGGTTGACTAAAGTATGAATTGTGAACTATTTGCTCAGCAGCAGAGACTGGGCTGAGAATCTGGACACCTGGGTTCTATTCCCTTCTCTGCCGTGCAAGCTTGGGCATGTTTCTTCCCTGCCCTGTGCCTCTGTTTTCCCTCCCCCAAGTTTGTCTATCTCGTCTATTTCCCCTGTAAGTCTCTTATTACGTGTACACACAGCACCTAGCACAATTGCCCCGCAGTCTTGGTTGGGCGTCTCGGCACTCCCATAATATAAGCAATGAAGTGTTTTCTGCCCCAGGAGTGATCATAGCTTGAGTTAGCCCGCGTCACAGGGCCAAATCCAGCCCTAGCATAAGCAGGCACAACCCCACTGAGTTCAGTAGTATTTTTCTAGCTTTTATACCAGGGCTGAATTTGGCCCAGAGCATCAAAATAGTCTTATGGTCATTCTGTCATCCCAGGGACTATTGTGTAAATTAGTTCATAAGCTCAAAGAAAGGCAAGCCATGGGCCTGATTCTGATGTTACGCTGGTATAAATGAGGAATAACCTTGCTGAAGTTAATGGACTATTGACCTCTGATGGGCCTCTAATTCCTTCATAAGAACTT